GAGAAGAATCAATGGAGAGAATATCTATTCCAGGAGGTAAAACTTCAATGTAAAGCCCGAAGTATGCCCAATAGATCAGAAATGTAAAATATATTTCCAACTACAACAATTTACCAATGATCCACTATCCAATACCCAAGGTATGGCCAGCACACACAGTGGCATGAACAGTTATTCTAAGCATCGATCTGCCCATTCTTTAATAGGAACTTCATGATTAATCTAAGTTCAACAATTAAAAGGGTGTTTCACTCAGTTCATTTTTATGTTAATAGTAGTTCTATCTTATGAGCTTGCAACAGCATTTGGTGAGCTTTTAAACCCTAAAAAAGATGTTAACCAATAATTTGTCCTTAATTCTCTCAAAACAATTTTTTAAGTTCAAGTTTTAAGTTTCTTTTAACTAAATTAACAGCTTATAAATTACATCTTTATCAAACATATAAATTAACTAATATAACTAAGAAGTTCACGTTAATCAAATACTTTAAGGGATCGTTTTTACAAAAAACTTCACATCATAAATGTTGTTTTTTTTATGAAATAAAAGAGAGAAATATTATTCACAAAGGTACCAATAGGGTACCATCCGTATACAAAATAATTACAAATTTATCAAGTGGTCCAAAACTAAACCTATGTCTTCCCACTCTTACACATCATGACCTAACAAGATAAACCCAAAAGTATGAAACCATCCATCTCTAATGTTTACAATATTAGTTTCAATGCTCTCAAAAGCTCTCGCATTTCTTTCCTTCCACACAACCCAAAAAATAGTAAGTGGTATAAGCAAACTATGTCTATTGTTTTTACAATAACCCACCCAAGCCCAAAGTTCCCCACTTACATTACCCGCGCTCTAACCCAAAACAAACCTGAGAGCCCAAAAACCATTGCTCATATGTTGTTAATTACAGGACAGCCCAACAATAAATGGCAACAAGATTCTTCATCAGTTTTACAAAAATAGCATCTATTCATCATAATGTTTCATTTTCTTTTTAACATATCAATAGTCAATATGCTGTTTCTCGCCGCCTCCCAAGTAAAAAACGTCACTCTAGGAGGCGCCTTCACTTTCCAGATTAGCTTGAAAGGTGCAATCATGTTCTGATGATCATCACCTCTTTTGCTCAAACTGTAGAAGAACGACTTAACCGAAAAACCCCTATTAGTATCCAGCTTCCACATCCTCTCATCATTATTTCCATTCAACTTAACTTTATCTAAACAGAGCAAAAGGTTGTATTATTCATCAATCTGTCGATCTTGTAGATTCTTCTAAAGCACTCACCCCAAGTTTTATCACTCTCTCCACCACCAAAAAACTTCTCCACCTTAGCCTCCTTATCACAAGCAATCACATAAATGCCAGGA